CCGTAAGTATTTGTGGTCTCTTGAATACAGGAAATGTGCATTTTTCATCAGTGGAAAATAGTCTTGCACACACATAACGAATAGGCTCATAGTCATACATATGTAGTGAAACATACACACAACTAATAGATTTTCAAGACCCCAATACGGAATATGAACATATATTATTCTTCTCTGTATTTGAAACATGTACGTATTGAAAGTCGTAAGTAACTGATTGATTTCCATGCGTGCATGCAAGACTATTTTATTGAGCATCTTTTTCTGTTTGCTGGGATGGGCAGATTTATACCGAACAGCTCAGCTTAGTCCCGACAAGCAGGGTCAAAGCTGTTGACCTCCTCACTGATCTAAACTTTGGTTACATGTAAAAAATTTGATCTCTTTGACTTTGTGGTATGATATTGAACAGTTCATTTTCGTTCCCCGGATAGTTGAAGTTGAAGTCTCGTTCCTCCCTCCTAACTTTTGTCTTTTATCTTATTTGCTTTTATGATCCCTATGAACTTAATTTGTTATTATTATTGCAACATGTGTGTTAATATAGGCTTCTCATCAAATGGGTGGTTGCCAACGATGTCTTTATACATTTCTTTTCTTACCCTCTATCATTTCTTAGCTTCTTTTTTAAAAATTTAATTTAATTTATTAATTTATTGTAAATTATTTTTTTTTTAACTTATTTCTCCCACCAAATGACCGTTATCATGTCAATGTGCGTTTTTTTACTCAAGCAAGCAAGCTTCTCATTAACAGAGCAGCCATGTGGGTGGTTGACAGGTGCTCTGGTGTGGCTTGCTCCTTCTTTCCTGTCAAACTTCTATCATTCTTATCTCCCCCTCCTCCTTTTTTGTGTTTGTTACTCTCTTGTAATTTGTAACTCTGTAACTCCTCTAATTTTCTGCACTTATGTATGACCTTATTGTGGTGTAAGTAAGTGCCACAAAACTCTTACACTTACATGTCATGTACTAAAACAGAAAACAGCAGACACATAAATTATGCAGAATTGTATTTTTGGTATTCTTGCCGATGGATTATTTGAGGGACTTTCATGGCTCCTTGTCCTCTTGGCTCGGTTCTATCAGAGAAGATTTAATTCGTAGAGCCTGCCTCTCAAATAATTTTCTTTTCTTTCACTTTGTCTCCATTTTCATCAGCATCATCATCATTGCCTTTCTCACCCTGGATCAGGATATAGCCTGACATTAATATAGGCCACGAACAAACACTTTCCACCTTTCCCTATCCTGGGCTTGTCACTTGGTGTCACTCAACGTCTTCCCACTTTTCTGTACATCCATTTCTGAATTTCATCAGCACAATCCTATATTTGTGACTGGTGTACATTTGCAACCCCCACCCTTACACCTTTATCATATATCCAGAGATATTTCATGATATATATTATGTAGACTCATGTGTAGTTATTTCGACATCTACAGAGTCCACTTATACTGAAATCTGCCAGATTTTCTTGGATTTTGCCGCGTTTTCAGCTTAGAGAGATTGCTCACTCAAATGAAGAAGAAAAATAAATCAGGGATTTTATCTTCTTTTCTGTTCTGTTCCTTTCTTTTTTCTTTTTTTCCCCCCCTCTCTGTTTTCGGAACAGCTGTGTTCCGTTAAAGTTCAATCAGTTTCCTCTCAGTATTTCTGTTTTTATGATTTAGGGTGCAATACATAGATACATGTAGTATGATGAGAAGTAACTTTGGACACCCTGCGTGGGTTGGGTTTTGTGGGGAAAAAATTCAAGATCTTATGGTATCATAGTTTTTTTAAAACTTGGTGTCTATACTCCAACTTTTCATTCCGGTGGGTGCTCTGCTGTGGTTTGCTCCTTCTTTCCTATCAAACATTTATCATTATTATCTCTCCTCCTTTTCTTGTGTGTGTTACTCTCACGTAACACCTCTTGTCATTGGCACTTGATATGACCTAATTGTGTTGCAAGTGCTGTAAAGCGCTTCCTACTACTATATATATTTACAGCCAAAAAGTAATTGTGCCTGATTTTCTTTTTTTCGCAACTATATCAATGGTGTTTCGCATGTATCTCTGTTTTTTATTTCTTGAATTTTTATGTCATTTAGATGATGCATTATTTTAACCCAGATTTACAACTTCGTAAAAAAATTCAAGTTTTTTAAAGACAATTTTGGAGTCAGCCCATTTGTGTCCAACATCATCAAATATAAATATGAGCATAATCTAATTGAGTGCCTGTATGTAACTTGAATAAACTAATGACTGTCTCCTTTGTGTTCATTTGTCACCTCAGGGTTCCTTTCTGCGAACAGACTTTGGCTTCAAGGTTTACTACCCAGCGAGCAGAGAGGTTCAGGACAGCCAGGTGCTGGAGAATCTGGACAGATCGATCAACGGACCAGCCTCTCAGTCTCAGTCCATGGACTTGACAGAACCGTCACAGCCCACTGCTGGCACGGCCACTCTGGACGCGTACTTTGCTGAAGCTTCGCAGTCTTGACTCGACTAGTATTATAGCCTATTTATTGTGTGTATGTCTTTGTGGTAGTAGCTTGTGTGGGCAGTTTTGTTGAAAGGGGGGGGGGGGGATGTTGTGATGGTATGTTAACCTGTGTATACTGGTGTAAGTGGTATGATGGCTAAGCTCTTCGCCATTGCTTGCAGAGGATGAGTTCAATTTCAGAGTATAGAAGTTTTTTATATATATATATATAGGATTAAGATCTTGATTTGCTTATGTGTGTTTCATCTCTTTTTAGCCTGGATTAGCCCTAAATGGGGAATTTAAGCAGCTTTATGTATGGTCTGTATCGTGCCAATGGAGCATTAAACATTTGCAATTGAAAAAAGATAACCCCTGTAAATTTTTGGGGGAAATTATTTATACTTTTGGATAATTGTGAAGGGGGCAAGATTGTGCTAGTGCAGAATTATCTGCATTTTTATTAGCACAGTTACTTCTTCTTTGTATGGTCTGGGATTGACTGATGTTTGACACTCCCGTAATTTGGGTTAACCAATAAAGAAAAATTAAAGAGATATCAGGCTATAGAAAATTGTACAAGCTATCCATGATTTCGAGTTTTGGACTGTATTAGTATTATGATTTAGAAGAGTACAAGTTCAAAGAATTTTTTAACTCGTCTTTGATTTTGTCAGAGGCTTTGTGTGTCTGAGTGTGTGTATGTGTTGCCCACTGAGAGTTTGACGATCAGGCTGGGGAGAACTGCTGCATGCTGTGTATATATTCGTTCAACTTGTCCCCCTCAAGTATGTTGTCATTGAGTACAACAAAGACTCACATAGCTTACCCTACGCATTGGCAGCTTTGGAGTCCCCATCGAGTTGGGGGTTGATCATAAATACCTGTGCAGGTCCTCACTGCAAGTGTCGTAAAACAAAAGTTCTCATTGCAGATGCAGTGATGTCCTTCTGATTGTTGTCTTCATTCTGCACACCACTTGTTCTAGACTTCAAAGGGATTACCTAATGTGTGGTCAATTACATACTTTGCCAAATTTTCACAAAATTTTGCTTGCATTCTCTAGCATCTTCCTGTAAGTGTTCTATCATAAACTCTCTGCCTTCATATCAGTAGCTAGAGGGATGGATATATGTGAATAAACACATTTTACACTAGCAAAAGGTCATAAATCCTGCTAATAATGGGAATGGCACACATGACTGTCTGTGATAAGGAGTGCCTGGTGGTGCGTTGTCTCATTTTTTTCCTTGACACTATGCTCCCCTGTCCTCCTGCTGGGTTATGCAGGCCTTTTTTTGTGTTTTGGTATAGATCTATTTGTGATTAGTGGTATTAAATTCTTTCAAAAACAGAAATGAAGACTTCTGCTTCGAGCTGCTCTCCTTTCCTATTTAAGCCTATCTCTTCAACATCACTTTCCTCAAGTTTTGACAGATGACAAAAACTAGTGAAATGACAAGCTGTTACACTCTAAGGCTGCCTCAATTGCTGCAAGGTACACAGGCCCTACATTTTGTACAGTTAGTCGTTAATCATCATCCTCCTCTTCCTCCGTCTCAGGTCATGCCCTGGGATTTTGTACAGCCGCTCTTGTTATTGTTCTTGTAAAAAACCAAGAGTTGTAATGGTATAGATCTACCAATACTATTCTTGTGTAAATACATACGCTGAAAGGTACACATTATGCATTGTGTGTACCTATAATAATGTAGCAAGAGTGCTTGCCCTGAGACCACGGAAAGCAACGGAACGGAACATATTTTTTCTGTTAAACTTTTTATTTATCTGTGTAAAAAGATCTCGTACATAACTTTGTATTGAGGTCTTTTCTGTGCTGACATACTACGCAACTGACAGTCACAGCAACCTTTACAACACAACGGATTCCATATCACATGCATTATTTGTGAAGCATGCTGGCAAAATGAGATACTTCTCAGATTCAAGCCTTATGGAAATAGATACATCACACTTATGAGTGAAGTTTATACAATTTATAAGTATGAAATAATAAGGCATGTTATAGTTATAGTCAAAATTAAAGAATATGGAATCAATAGAATATAATCAAATTTGACCCTTTTGTCGATTTTTGGCCAATATCTCCACTTGTGGATTGGGAGAAGTAACTCATTTTGTCAGCATTTGTTCCTGAAGTCGGTAACAGGAGATCACTTTTCAGTATCCAGTTAGCCTGCTATCCCCAAAATCTTGCTGAGTGTTACCGAGACTGTGTGGTCTGTGGGCCGGCAGCCTTGTACATTGAGAATATACATAATGTAAATATATATATACGATTAAACTTGATCAAATGTTACACTTCCTTTGTTTTATTTCTCTTTTTTTGTTTGTTTTATGTGTTGGGTTCTTTCCAGTAGGATTGGTTGATGACGTACTTCCGCCGTTCAACATGATAAGCCTCAAAACCTTGAAGGAATGAAAATGTTTTTCTTTAGAGTAATAAGAGAGAGATTTTGGTCCATATTTTCCTGGGCACCACAATGAGAACAAAAATGTAAGAAAACCTGCAAAGACGATTAAAAAAGGAGCGAAACCCCTTCCATGCTGAAGAAAATCGAAAAAACACTAACGGTGGGCATGCAAAGTCAACTGGAAAAAAATGTGCAGTGAAAATAGGTTAGCATCAGTGCTGCTGCTATAAATTATAAAAAGCAACTGCTGTAGTTAACATTTTGCAAGCATATTTTTTTCAGTATGGTGCAAAGTACACATACTGAATGATGCTCTGCATGAAACAAATCCTTGTAATGGCCTCGGTTTTAGTTAAATTCCCTTTACGCACAGAAAAGCTCATTACAACCATGAGGCAGAATCTCCAACTTAACATCCATCTCCACAATGACAAAGCCATGTAGTGTAGGTGGAGAGCACTGGAAAATGTCTCAAATTAATCATCCGTCCAAACCTTTATGATAATGCCATTTCATAGTGATACAGTGGAACTCGGATTCAACGAGATGAGATAGATTCCCCCTTTTTTTTTCTTCTTTAAAATCAATAAAAATAACCCGGATTCAACAAGCACTTAAATCAGCGAGCTCCCAGAACAAACTTAATCTATTCCCGGAAACCATCCATTGCACCTGCATCGTGAACCATTGCCATTATTCACTTAGCCGATGGCATGCGACCAATCGGCGGCCTTTTTCCACACCAACACATGTGCTGTTAGCACGCGCGCGTCTACTCTGGTGTGTGTCGAGGACGGATGGGCAGCTTGCACACGTGTGGCTGTGTGTACGTGTCGGGGGGAGGGGGGTAATTATGCATAAACTTGCATTTTATTACAGTGTGTGTGTGTATGTGTGTGTGTGTGCGCGCCTGTGTTTGTCTAAAAAGAAAAAGAAAATGCTAATTTCAATTATGAAAAAAAAAGTAAATTGAATACTGTATTATTTTACAGTGACAGGAGGGAAAGCAGACTTTTAAGCATGTTTATATTAGTCTACTAAACCTCATATCTGTTTTATAAAACCAAGGAAAGGAATTCTGAACGTTTAAAGATGTAAAAACAGAATACATTTTTTTAAAGTGATTTAAATCACTGAGTTTTATTTTTAAAATCAAGTTGATTAAAAAAATTTTTTAATAAACTGATTTAAATCAACCCAAACCTGATTTCAATTGTGAAAAAAAAGTAAATTGAATACTGTATTAATTTACAGTGACAGGGGGAAAGCAGACTTTTAAGCATGATTATATTAGTCTACTAAACCTTATATCTGTTTAATAAAACCAAGGAAAGGAATTCTGAATGTTTAAATATATATATGTAAAAACTGAATACATTTTTTTAAAAGTGATTTAAATCAGATTTTTATTTTAAAAATCAAGTTGATTAAAATATTAAAAAATCAACTGATTTAAATCAACCCAGCTCTGATTTCAATTATGGAAAAAAAAAGTAAATTGAATACTATATTATTTTACAGTGGAAGGGGGGAAAGCAGATATTTAAGCATGATTATATTAGATCTAGTCTACTAAACCTTATATCTGTTTTATGAAACCAAGGAAAGGAATTCTAAATGTTGAAATATGTTAAAAACTGAATAAAAATACATTTTTTTAAAGTGATTTAAATCACTGATTTTTATTTTAAAAATCAAGCTGATTTAAATTTTAAAAATCAACTGATTTAAATCAACCCAACCCTGCCGAAACGTGCTTTAAAGCCGCCACGGACTGTATATCTCTTCCCACTTATGTTATCCTAGGTATTTCTGTATCCAATGATCTGTCACACACCCTCGTCTTTTAAATTACAACCATCCCCGAACTGAACAGATAAGTCAGAGAAACGTAATTTTAAAAAAGATAAACTTTTCACCTTATAACTACAAAAACAAACACACAGAGAAATGTATCTAGATTGGAAAGTGTTAATGGAGAAATTATAGCACAGAAAAGCCAAAAAGTCATTCAACTTGAAAAATATACACATGTCTAAAATTTACAAAACAAATAAAGTCACACATAATGGGCTACAACTTTTTATTCTAATGTCATTATGTACATTTGTAATGAGTAAATTATTAAGTCAGTAAGTCAAAAGAATAAGACATCATTGTCAAGCGATGTCATTCTGATCAATGATAAAATCAGGGTTGTAGAAATGTGCCGAGTTCACTTTCGGAAATTTCCTCTGCCTTGCACACCCTCTGGCAGGTTTCTCCTTGCCTCTGCATAAACGGCGAGCCTTGAGAAGTTCATGTCTTTCTTCTGCAACACTGTTCATGGTAGCCTGAGTTTTAAAAATGACAAACGGTACAATGTTAAAATTAAAGCCATTTTGACTATTAAAAAAAACATCACCAAAATTTTTTTTTCTAATTTGGCAAAAAAAACACAACAGATGAAAATACATGGATGTTACAACCATCAACAACCATCAAGAAAACCAGAATTTCGGGGGGAAATTTGAAAACCAAACGATGAATTTTATATTATACTTTATATAGTTGTGGTCAGAGCAGAACCAAGTATACTGTGGTCTACACTACAGCAACCATCTAAGGCAAATTACTCTATGATGATGACTTAGTTAATTAAAAGAGGTTCATGACGTGCCAATTTCACAGTGCATGCTGCTAGACTACAAAACCGCTGACACTATACATGAACGTAAACATTTCGCTATGTTAGAATTACAAAATTCTATTTGACATTTTTGGCCATTTTGAGTTACTAAGACCATGAGATCGGAAAACAAATGTTCTCTTTACTCTATTAAAATCATAAGATTATTCGGAGTCGTTAACAAGATATTCAAAAAATTGCTCTTTAAAAAAGCTTGACATGTCAGGAAACTCAAATTTTTTTACATCAAATTTTTCAAAACTAGGTATTGAACAGAAAGAACTTTGTAATTCCAAGGTAGCAATTTGGTTAGATAAAGGCAATACTTTGCCTTCCATCAGCTGCTTGACTACTTGTATAGCAAGTGAGACTAATCATAAAAATAGGAATAAAGAATAAAAATTGTTCCAGTGAAAAAGAACAGATCCACACAATACTGATAATTTTTTCCCATGAAAAATCAAGATCATAAACTCAAGAACTCAACAACAACAAAAAATATCAGCTGTTTCGCAGGGAGTGTAGAACCTATTAACACCACTTTTTGACACATTTTATATAGTGCAGTTATTCCCCGTGTTCACAATTCGTCCGTTGCAACCCGCCCATGGGAATTCCCCTTTTGATGAAATTGAAGTGGTTCCTCTAAAACATGAACTGCGTTATTTTAATCATAATCACAGGGACGTCCCTACTTCCCTTGCAAAAATAATTCGAAAAGAGCACTTTAAGATATTCTAATACTTGAGTCAAACCGTTCTGATGATCATCTGAATGCAGGTCAGTTGATTTTGAAAATATGAACGATTGCAAAACAAACTTACACAGCTGAGAGGTGTTGATAAGCTTATTGTCATAATTGTGGGAAAGGATCCTGAATAAAAAGCTATTATAAAGAGTAAAAAAGTATTGCCAAATCTGATGACATTTAAGCAAAGGCAACTTTTGTTTTGTTTAGTTTTTACTTTTAGTAGAGGTGTTACGGCACTCGCAACTGCACAGGTCATATAAAGCCAAGGACAGGGTTGGTGATTTTTTTGATAAAAAAATCGATTTTTTTTATTTAAATCAGATTTTTTAAATTTAAATAGGATTTTTTTTATTTTTTAAAAAATGTCGACACAGTTTGGGATTTTTGGTGGCTAAAAGTATGTTCTTTTAGTGCAAAATGCATTGTCTTTATTTTAACTAATGATTAATTTAAGCAACTGCAATTTTAGAAAGCCTTAATCTGCTATATCAGTGAATTATGGCTGCAGACAAAAAATGAAGAAAATGTCAGTCTAAAAGGAAGGGGGGGGGGGGGGGGGTAATTATGCATAGATAAACTTGCATTTTATTTTTATTACAGTGTGTGTGTGAGCACGCGCTTGTGTTTGTCTAAAAAGAAAAAGAAAATGCTAATTTCAATTATGAAAAAAAAAGTAAATTGAATACTGTATTATTTTACTACTTACAGTGACAGGGGGGGAAGCAGACTTTTAAGCAATTTTAGTCTACTAAATCTTATATCTGTTTTATAAAACCAAGGAAAGGAATTCTGAATGTTTAAAGATGTAAAAACAGAAAACATTTTTTTAAAGTGATTTAAATCACTGAGTTTTATTTTTTTAAATCAAATTGATTAAAAATTTTTAGAAATCAACTGATTTAAATCAACCCAACCCTGGTTTTCAATTATGAAAAAAAGTAAATTGAGAACTGTATTATTTTACAGTGACAGGGGGGAAAGCAGACTTTTAAGCATGATTATATTAGTCTACTAAACCTTATATCCGTTTAAAATAAAACCAAGGAAAGGAATTCTGAAAGTTTAAATATGTAAAAACTGAATACATTTTTTTGAAAAGTGATTTAAATCACCGATTTTTATTTTTTTAATCAAATTGATTTTTAAAAATTTAAAATCAACTGATTTAAATCAACCCAGCTCTGATTTCAATTATGGAAAAAAAAGTAAATTGAATACTGTATTATTTTACAGTGAAAGGGGGGAAATCAGACTTTTAAGCATGATTATATTAGTCTACTGAACCTTATATCTGTTTTATGAAACCAAGGAAAGGAATTCTGAATGTTGAAATGTGTAAAAACCGAATAAAAATAATTTTTAAAAAAAGTGATTTAAATCACTGATTTTTATTTAAAAAATCAAGTTGATTTAAATTTAAAAAATTAACTGATTTAAATCAACCTGATTTAAATCAACCCAACCCTGGCCAAGGAGTGGGTGTCAACAGAGAAGTCCTTACAGGGAATCAGGCTTACTCTGCTCACCTCTCTAGCTTCAACAGCACAAAGTCAGTTTCGAATATCAAGGCACCCAGGAAATAGCGGGTCACAAGAGTATGACAAACATACAAAAGAAGTAGAGGGAAAACGACGAGAGTAAGGATTAGGAAAGAAAAAGCAGCAGTTCCCTGTTGCAGTTCAGGCACAGTAATGAGCATGGCGTTGTTGAATCAGTCCATTTACAGTTCTACTGTACATAAGAACAAGTTAATGTCCCTCTTTTGGAAATGGCCTAAATACACTTCAGTCAGTGGCACCGCCCCGGTGAGGTTTTCTTTCTGATTATAGTTGAACAAGAATGTTAAACTAGACGCTCTTCAAACGCAGCTGATTACTTTACAAAATCATTAATCCTATAGGTTTATCAAGAGTTCTGCATCATTCTGTATCAGATACAGTTGTCTCGGCATAAAAACACTGTGCTCGGGGGGACTCATAAGCCTGCACTTACACAGAGTTTTTTTGTAAAGCCGTACAAAGGGGGAAAGGGACACAAACATTTCACTTCTTTGATATCTTTGTAATTACTGTCACCTCCCATGATGATATATGTGTGTGTGTGTGCGTATGTATGTGTGTGTGTGTGCGTGATAGTGTAACGAAACGTGACTTGTTTTATAAAAGATTTCCTGATCGCCATTATGTCTGCAGGGTGTTGAATGAGACTTTTATGAGTGATAGAAAAAAGCAGAGAGATCGACTCACTGTACTGTTGAGAACAGATAAGAGAAAACTGTTGGTGATAGTCATAGGGAAGAGTTCTCAGCCATGTGGCTTTCCAAGCAACCACTCCCAACTACCTGTCACCTATTGCAACTCAGTTTAAGCATAGATGACATTAGACATTCTGACAAACTATTCTTTAGTAATTCAATAAACAAGTACATTATCATAAGTTCTTCGAGCGCATCTGACCACTTGACTAAATCATTAATCCAAAAGACGTATCCTCTGTAAATGCATGGATGATTTCAGGTATTCTGAGATGGATGTTTGATAAGAAAGAAAGAGCAAACCACACCAGAGTACCCGCCAACCACCTACATATAAATTCTAATTTGAAAGTTCCAAAATTTACTTGGGCAGGGGGAAAAGTTATGAACACATACAGAGGATTTCTTTGTATGCAACTTAAACGGATTTGGTCTTCAAAACAGACAAATTAAAGGTTTAAAATACAAGGAACTTACTGAGGACATGGAATTCAGATCTTTAAGGACATCAAGCTTAATCTCTGTCCATATTGCAGCATTTTCCTGAGCAAACTTCTCCTGACCCTCATCACTGCGATCAGTTTTGATGTGTACACGGCTCTGTTGATAGAAACGGACATACTTTTTTTTCCTGCAGATTATTTGTGAACTGGAAAAGAGCAGAGTTTCAATTTTCATTGTATAAAGCCATTTACGTATATAAATGAATACTGTCCAACCTGCTCTAACAGTCACTTGTATACGACAATCACTTGTACAAACAGCCACTTCCCCTTCGCCTTTTTGATTCCATTACGATGACACTGAGTAAGACATCCACTTGTCTAAGAGTAAGACACCCATTTTTCTTCTTGATAATGGGCAGCCATCTTAGACAATTTTGCCAGTATATCCTGTACTTAGGGCCACTGTTCCATGACACATTTGCGTTTGAGTGGTGGAAAAAAGCAGAAAGACTAAATTACTGTACTGTTGTAAGCTGACAAAAGTCATTTTTCATTTTGGTGCCAAAATTTTTTATTTGCTAAATCGAAAGCATGATCAATTACCCTACTTGTGTGAAAAAGTCAAAGTGAAATTGTGACTAATTTTTTAATACATTTGAATTCAATTTTCGGAAAGAACTTTATTTTTCAATGGTTATGCTGACAAAAATCCCTCTTTTTCTCTAAACTGCCGTGAACACACAAAAAAGGCGTTTTGTCAGCTAACGGCTATGTACTGATGCACTAATAATATGTCAATGTCAGGAACAGAGAATAAGAGGAAACTGTTGGTGATAGATCTAGTCATAGAAAACAGCACTCAGCTATACTCAGCCATACAGCTTTCCAAGTAACCATCCCAAATTGCCTGTCATCTATTGCAACTTGGAAAAATATGCATAGATAACACCAAACTTTCTGAGAGCCAAACTAGTGATTTGATGAACAAGTATGTATGATAAATTTTTCTAGGACAGCTGATCATTTGACTTTAAAATCATTAATCCTAGGGGTTTCTAGTTTTCTACAGCATTCAAATGTGTTACACACGCCTGACAAAACATTATACAGTGGAACTCGGATTCAACGAGGTCGCCGGGCCTGACCTAAAATCTTGTTGAATCCGAGTGTTTGTTATAGCAAACACGAGGTTTTGTGTAGATAATTACAGACACTGAGCAAATAATGTGTAAAGAGAAGGCACAAGTAGTGCCTGAAATGCCTGCATATTATGAGCTGCGTTTTAAAAAAAAGACAGATTCGTTCAAATGCACACGCTTGTGTCACCTCAATTGTTTACCTTCTAAACGTGTTGCTGTGTAGAGCCTAGCAAACCGGCAACTTTTGATTCCATAAGCCAGCGCACAATTCCTTACATAGATCTACTGTACATCAAGACTAGCTTATCATTGTAATAATGATCAGTTGCCAAGGGAAAAAAAGACTGTGACGCGTTTGTATCTGCGACGTTAAACTTAAACGCCCGGACAGCTAGTGCCCCCCCCCCCTTTCTCCCCAACACGCACACACAGCAAAACATGTGCAGGCCGCCCATCCAACCCCGACACACACCAGAGTAGAGATGTGCGAGTGCCAACAATGCATGTATCGGTATGAAAAAAGGTAGCTGATTGGTCGCATACAATGGGTTAAGTGAATAATGGTTCACGATGCAGGTGCAACGGAAGGTTTCTGGGAATAGATCTAGATAAAGTTCGTTCTGGGAGAAAAAAAATGATCAACGCCAGGTCTGCGGGGGCTGTTCACCCTGGAAGAGACCTCGTTGAATCCGAGCTCGCTGATTTAAGTGCTCGTTGAATCCGGGTTGTTTTTATTGATTTTAAAGAAAAAAAAAAGGGGGGAATCTTTTTCATCTCGTTGAATCAGAGTTCTCGTTGAATCAGAGTTCTCATTAAATCCGAGTTCCACTGTAAATCAAAAGTAGAATGTTTTATGCATTTCAGTCCCCCCTTCGCCACTCACCCACCTGTGCTGGTAAAAACCTACTAATTATACACAAAAATAACAATGCTAAGTGACCGTTGCCATCTAAATCTATGTCAAAGATGGATCCACAGTAAAATGACTATTTCCAAGACAACAAGAACAAATAGAGACACAGAAATTCAGCAGTGTGAATACTGAACACACAGTTGCTACAAAATGATGAGTGTGAGAGAGAGAGAAAGAGAGATGGAATTATTACCAATGGCGGTAGTCTTGGCAGCAAAGATGAGAATTGTAAGCTATCCATGAAGAAATGTATGTTTTTCCAGATCATGACCAAAAAAATTGGAACTCTAGAAGCAGTAAAATGCTTTAAAAAATGAGTTGCTAATAAAACTTGAGAATGAACTCACATAGTATTGAACAACATTGTTGGCAGTTTTTCTGGCTACTTTTCTACACTTTGGTGGCTGTTTTCTCCTCATCTTAGCCGTTTTAACAATGGCATCATCAAGTCCAGGTACCAAATCTTCTTCGATGTGAGATTTCTTGCATGAATCCAATGGTTCATATTCTGAAACTGAAAAGTAAACATTTAATTTTAAAAAGGTTTAAATCCAAAAGCCCACAATCAGCACAATGCGCATTCCTCTCTTTCTCAGGGACTGTTTCACCATCTTGAATTGAAGCACAACATTGGCTTGATGATTTGCAATACTTGATGGTTGTTAGTCAAGATTTGATCAAGATAGTGTCATGTATTCATAACCCTCAAAATTCTTTTCAGTTGGGGTTGAGAAATGGGAAGCATTTCAGCTGCCTAATTGGCAGTATTATTACAAAGACAAAGTAGGTGGGGGGGGGGGGGGGGGGGGGGGGGTATTATTAAACTTTCTCCTATTCATTTACTGAATGCTGTTTTCGAACAACAACTGCTCGGTTTGAATTCAAACCACTGTAGGGTATCATGTGTACTGTCTAGACATCACAATCATAACATCAAGATCCAGACAGACATTGAAAGCAGCAGGAGAGACACGACTGTACCGGTGGACGTATGCTTTATTACTGAAAATTCTCTTCTCTCTGAATTCTATGATGATTGTATCTAAGACAACAATTAGGTAACCACTTACGCGGCTTGGTTACGAGTTGCAAGTGGTTACCAGTTGCCAGGTTTCCTAATTACTAAGGCAATAGAGATGGTTTGCCTGATGGTTTTGGACATTACATCATGTACACTTAGATCTACTACTACTACTACTACTAGATCAAGATCTCTAGTCTAGTACTAAGTGTACTCTAGATCGAGTTTTACTATGAGGTTCGCCTAACTAACTACTATTCTATTACTAGCTATTGTGATGATAGTGGTAGTGGTGGTCTGAACAGTAGGCCTATAGTCAAGTCTAGAGGTAGCAGTAGTAGCACAAACTTGAAACTGAGGTTCTATATATCTCTAAATCTAGACTACTATCAAGATCTAGATAGACTAACTAGAATATGGATCTTGATTTCTAGATATCTAGATCAGAGTTAGGGTCAATAGACGGCGATTGTTAAGATTCACGCGTTTAATTCCGATTTGCGTTAGGGTCATGGTTAGGGTTACTAGGGTCAGGATTAGGGTTAGGGTTAGGCCGAGGGACAATAAAAGCGAAACATGTCTGAGGCTATCTATGAAAAACGCAAATTGGAATTAAACGCGGGAATCTTAACAATCGTCCTACAGATCTAGATTTAGATCTAGTCTAGATGATTATAATTGGCCGGCTCTATTTCTCCTAACGTTCGGGAAAATAAACTTGAACTGTATTTCTCTGAACCGTTTCCGTTTAGTGATTTGTTGATAATAATTGCGAATGGAGTGGTCTGTGTGTGTGTGAGTGTATGTGTGTATGTGAGTGTGTGTGTGTGTGTTTGTGTGTGTGAGAGTGTGCATGTGTGTATGTGTGTGTGTGTGTGGTGCATGTGTGTATCATGTGTGTGTGTGTGTGTGTGTGTGTAGGCCTAAGGTGTAAACGGGGCATGGGGGCGTGGGGCGTGGAGGGATTTTTTTTTCAACATGGAAGGATTTTATTTTTTGCTGGATGGCTAAAAATGCATAATACGTTACTGCCAAGGTCGATCAGTCTTGTTTTCTCGCAATACCTTTTGAAGGTATTTTCAAATGAAGTAGTCTGGGAACGTTACCCCAACCACAACTGAAGTATCTGAATATTCAGACATTTAAAAATCTCTAGCTAGCTCTAGAAATTGAATTTGACTTCGGAGAAATAGAGTTCAAGTTTATTTTCCCGAATGTTCGGAGAAATAGTCACTTCGATTAGATTCTCATGGGTCTCAACTCAGAATTCTTAAAAAGGAGGAACTTTCCGGGTGATCGCCACAGAAGCCCATTTTCGCGAAACACCCATTATTATTATACTGTTGAACCCTAGAATGCTGAAATAAAAACCATCAATTTATCAAAGCAAGGTTATTTCACTCCAGTGTGAGGGTTTGGGAGATAATTTCAAGTAAGAGTCACGTACCAAGTATTTACAATCTTGATTTTAGATCTAGATTCTAGATCTAGATTTCGGTGCTTTTTCGGTAGTTCCCATCCCCTTATTTGAGCCTGACCTACATCGAGATCTCTATACGTATGATTCGCGGCAAGCTAATATATCAAACCTAACAACTGCAAAACATTAAATTGTGGTAAAATTCAGGGGGGCATCATTTTTTATTGGGTCAGGGGGGCACCCCCCTACTCTTGGGCCAAAATCGGCGAATAACAATTGCGGGGTGGGAACTACCGAAAAAGCGCCTAGATTAGATTTCGGTGATCTTATACTTTAGCACGTTAAATTCCGAAAGTCTACTAGATCTAATCCCCGACTCAGATCTTCAAAACTTTGAACTGGGCCTTAAAATGCGCAAACTACCGTAATTTTGTCATGGACAGATGGTATAACATTGGTTTTTGGTCTTCTATCATGATTTAGGAAGCCATTGATGAGTATAATCTAGATCTAGAATCTAGATCTAGATTTAAAAGTGGTCGCTCGTTACGGAAGTCCTCAATTGAAGAATTTAACGTGTTAACTCTTATCCTGCGTCTGTGCCCAGATGCGTATCTTATCAGCAACCGATTATGTCGGACGTGCCGGGCAGGCCGCCGGGGTCACTCAGTGTGTACTGTTGGTGTACAGCGCGCGCGCGCCGGGAAACGTGTGTTTTAGCCATGAATACCGCGGGAGTGTGTTGACTGATGATGAAAATAACGCTCTATCCTTCATAGCTTTCTATTTATAAAGTGTTACAAACACATGAATAACCCCCTCTCACAGGCTGATAAGACATTACGAGTAGTTACGCCCATTTGAATAACCTTTCTGGACGCTCTTGTTGTTATGACTGACCTGAGGTTCGAAAAGGGATAATTTATGTCAATTTCCGAATGTTTTACACTCAAATTGTTCTTTGTACCTGCACAAGGGTATTCAAAACTATCAAACAAGCTCATTTTTTATCAGGTAGTATCATTTCATACAAAATCAAGCTCATTTGAAATATTTTGTATAGAAAAATGGAAGTCTTGTTTCCTGACTATCCTTTCGAGCTCCTCATGTCTAAGTGGGTCAATTTCTTCTATAATTTCATTGGACGAACATCTAGAGCTAGCTATCAACTTGGCATGTTTTGAATGAGACGTATGCTTCGATTACGAACCAACGCAGGTGGTTCTAGAAGAAGGCCACAAACGCACACAAACTCAAGCAGACTGACGCACACACACTTGACCTGCGTGAATGGGGATCCGACTCGGGACCCGAATGACACGTAAGAGGATGCGCGCTGCTCGTGCGCTGAGCCAGGAGCTACACTGACTCGGGACCAGAACGCAGGCGAGGTGCCGAAATAGGCTTATCGGGCTACATAAACCCGGCTCCCGCAGGATGAGGGTTAAAATATAAGATCACCTAGATTTCTAAATGTTATATTCTCAGAGATCTTTGCGCTATCCGCTATCGATTTTTAGGAAGGAGTTCAGCAAAGGGCCGGTCGACCAACAACACACAAAAGAGGGGATATTTTGAGCAGGATAGGCCCCCTATCCTAATCCCTAACCCATGTTATATATAACCCTAACTTAACATAGTCAGTTTGCTCAGTGGACCTTGTCACGGTACGTGCCGGCCCTCTGCGGTAGGGCTGGGTCACGAGCGCGAGAACGGAACTGAATCGCCACTCTTTCCTGCGGAACGCGATTCATGATTCACTTTAGCGGAACGCGGAACAGTATCGCCAAACGATTCCCGATTCACTCCCCTGTCGCTGTCACCACCTTGTGGCTTGTTTAACCTACTGCTGAGTCGAGTCACGAGCGCAAGAACGGAACGGAACACTTAGTATGGCTCCCCTTATTTTACAAAAGATGGTATAGTCCAACCCCCCTATTAAAACAAAATGAACGGGGTCCAACCAATAGACAGAAGCAATTTTATGGAGCCATTGTTTTAGCGAATGGTGGGGTTTGGGAGGGGGGGATTTATGGGGGTCACTAACTAATTGAGGTCAGTTGATAAAGCAGCGCAACAAAAAAGGGTGTGGGGCGGAGAGAATGGCGGAACAACAAGAGTGGGACTCGCGCTCGCCAAGTGGCGTTGATATGATACTGTTCCGTTGACATGACACTGTTTCAGTCAGTGTTCCGCCACAGTTCCACGAGCGCTCGCGTACTCGCGATTCATTGAAGCCGACTGAATCGCGAATCGCCACTCTCAAATTTGACGAGGAAAGTGGCTATTCTCACCCGCCCGGAAGTTCTCGCAAGATCAACTCCTCCCCTCTTCTCTCTCTCTCTGTCTCTTTCTGAATACTGTCTATCGGTGTGGACGATCAAATTGACCAAAACAAAGTTAAAAAATGATGTTAAAACACAAAAGTAAATCAATTTGGTTGTCTACAAAGATGCTACGGCTATTTAACTTTTCGAATCGAGCCGAACCAAGCCGACCTACGCGGGTCGCCATTTTGTTTTGCCCGGAAATTCTCGCGCTACTCCTCTCTCTCTTTCTCTCTCTCTCTCCACTGCCCAGAGACAAAATTGTACGCATTTAGTAGGCTACAGTACATGCGATTAAAAGTAGAAATGATGCAAACTATTTTTAGGTAAGGCGCCCATCTTGTTTGACGTCAGACCAGGATACTGGATACCCCTCCGATCACGTGACTACATCTAAGTATAGACAACCGCATGGCACCAAAGATGGAAGTGTCTATGTATATTATTATGCTTAATCTACACAAATTTCTCGGAATTTCTGATAGCTGATTTGATAGCGCGTCTGCGTTTGATGTCGAGCAATGACTTTTGGAGCGGTTCGATTCCGGTCCCGGACAGTTGTTTTTTTCTCTTTTCCTCCTCCCGACTGACCAACAGTTCCATAAATTATAGGCCTAATTTGTAGAGTTGCTTTGACTTTGAAGTTGTTGTTTATTTTTTTTTATGTATTAGTGATTAAAAATGCAGGAGGGGGGGGGGGGGTAGATCTAAATTTAAATATCTAGATCTAGATTTCTAGATCTAGA